CAAAGAAATAAATATTACTTAATACCTACAAAATGATACTGTGAACAATCTATTAAAAATATTCCTCTATAATTTATTAAATAAGTGCCTCTTCATGAAGTTATAAAAGTAAAAATAAAACAAAGAAATAAATATTACTTAATACCTACAAAATGATACTGCGAATAACCCATTAAAAATGTACCTCTTTACCCAGCAATAAAAGTAGGAACAAAGAAAATCGATTTTATTTAGAAAGTATAAAATAAGTTAAACAGAGTGGTCACCATGGTAAGATTAAATGCTAACAGAAAGAAAATTAAATCCATATTTTAAACTTGACAGGTTCAGTATTTCGTAGCAAAAACCATAGCATCCATCATAGTTTTGACCGCAGCCCGACATGGAGTTGATGAGTGCCTCGATTGATAAACGGCTTCGAAAATCATAGTGTACTTTATCAAAGCTGAATACATGGTACACGTACCACTAAGTGTCTGCTATAAAACTTTTACTGTCATCGATTAACTTTCATGAGAGTTACGCTCAGAAAACTTAAAGGCGATATAGATGTTTCTGTACGGAACTGTAGTACCTTCGTTGCGGACTAGGGTCACTGACGTTAACACGTATTCGTTACATTTCGATCGATATTACAATTAATGTATTTTCAAATTAGTATACATAATATTATTAGGTACGCAATATTATTATATGTTAGCTTAATGGATAGACACATATTTTGTTAGTTCTAAAATTTTTATATTTATTGTATTATTAGATAAATTATGTGTTACAGATGGTTGATATATAAAATAGTTCATGATTTCTATATTTTCATTTTTTTGAAAGAATCGTTGCCTATCGTCTTCTTTGTTAAATTTTGTTTAAATCTTGTTATAGTAATTGTTACGTTATAAAGCTAGCAACAGTATTTTCAAACATATTCACATAGGAAGTAGACAAAATAAGTTATGCAAATTTTGTATAATTTCTTCAGAATGAATAGCTTATTAAGATGTCTTCACTAAACTTGTTCTAATATTTCCTATTGCAATGTAAAACTAGTTACAGTAACTTTAGAGATATTTTCATGAAAACTAGACATTTAATTGTTTCTTTTAAATAGTTCATCTACTTCACTTTTGTTTAAATATATCTTTGTTACAATTATTGTTACAATATAAAGCTAGCTGTAGTATGTTTAGACACAGTCGCAATTTTCATTTGTTTAAAAAGAAATAAATTCCATTTTCCACTTCTTACAACACAGAAATAATTGAGAAATGTAAATGTAGCATTTCTTTAAACTATCTTGCTTAAATATACTAAAGTACAATGTAGGAAGTGTTTCCATTTTTATCCAACCCCAGCTGTCATACACATTCGAGAGCTAAAAATAGTAATGAAAATTGATCGTGAAAATGTTGATACGACGACGTATTACGATTGGAAAAACCAATCAACTGAACAAAAATATACTAACATATAGATAATATAGCTCTTGACAAAATACGTTGATTCAAATGCCATCTTTGTAATAAGGAAAATTATTAAACTAATCTAAACTAACCTAATTCGATTGTTGCTAAACATATATCTCGGAAAGTAAAACAAAATGAGAGTATATTGATTGAAACGCCATCTTTGTAATAAGAAAAAGTATTATTAATCTAAACTAACCTAATTCGACTGCTACTAGAAATATATCTCGAAAACTAAAATAAAATGAGAGTATATTGATTGAAACGCCATCTTTGTAATAAGAAAAAGTATTATTAATCTAAACTAATCTAAACTAACCTAATTCGACTGCTACTAGAAATATATCTCGAAAAGTAAAATAAAATGAGAGTATATTGATTGAAACGCCATCTTTGTAATAAGAAAAAGTATTATTAAT